TCCGGGATTTCACTGAGGTGAGGTGCACTGGTCAAAAACGCTCCGCCAGTGCATGTTTCAAGTGGGACTACAATGTTGATGGTACTGTTTCCTGCTGATTTGGCGCGATGGTTTTTGGGATTTTGTGGATTGATATATTGCTTTTGACTTTTGTTTAATTAGACATACTTTTCTGATGGTATTCCAGTTCTTTGCCGTTCGGGTTGCTTGGCTTTTCCTGGCTTTCCTTCTCGTGTGAGTAGTTGCGCTGCAAAAGCTGCGATATTGAGGTTGCTGGTGGACTTCTCATCCAGAGGACCAAAGCTTCATCCGGTGGATTGAACAAACTTGTAGCTGCTAACTTGCACTGGCACTAGGTTATTTGAGAACACGCTGTGACTGTAGGAGGCCCCACTGCCGTGATTGTCACCTGGGTTAGTGGCAATGGTCTGCGCTTTCCTGACGGTCGAGTTTGGACCCGTCGACGGTAGAAGACTGGTCTTCTTGAAAGGCCGCCCATGCATTTCGCTGTCATGTGCCATCACATGCCCAACAAGCATGGTGGATTGAATGGATCCGAATTCACAACCAAGATCATCAGATTTTTGCATGTTCCTTGGCTGCTTTACCTGGAGGAGGCATCCAGAAGACATCGGCACCTGCATCCAGGACAAAGGCATCCGATTTCCACTGGTCACTGACGGCTCCAAGTGCAAAGACACTGCAACAAGACGACTGGGGAGACAGAACTCCTTCCAGAACTGTTTCAGGTGGTGCATAGTGCGGTGCACAATAGCAACCAAGTCGATGGCAAAACAGGGCACGGAATGAAGATCCGTTGAGCTGACCACGAGAGTTCCCGAATCGATCAAGGAAAGTCATGTAAACAGCTTGCAAGCCGCCCCTCATTCTGTAACAGCATATGCTTGCCAACTCGTGGTCCATTCTGCCAGCCAACCAAAGGCTTCCAAATTCGCTCGCTGCAGATTTGGCTCAAGCTCATTCAATCTTTGTTGATATGTGCGAGCATGATGGCGAGCCCTTCCATGAAAGCCTTTCCGTTGCCTTCAAGAGCGCCCTCACCAAGTTTGACAGTTTGAAACTTGGAATGTCCTGGATGTATTTAATCGTGCGAAGCCTTCAGCCAGCTTCGGCAGTCGTGTTGCAGACATGTCCACCACCGCCATCGCCCAGGAGTGCTTACTTCGCTGGCGGCGTGAGTGTTCAGGAGGTGATTGCAATGCTTTTGGATGAAATGCGCCAGGATCAAGACTTTGCACATTTGCTGGGCAATGATTTACGCCACAAAGAGTTCGTCAAGTTTGTGCCTGGACGGCAGATGTGCATAGGGGATACTTGTAGCACAATATAGTATGCCCGTCAGAGTCCCAAGAGAAGGGCAATAGTATGTAGGATACGAAATTTGATAAAAGGCACTACATTTTTGTGAGCGTTTGTCAGGGTTCTGCATCAGTGACCCTACGGTACGCCTTGAGTCCTTGAGGAGAAAATGTTTTGACTATTTCTTCCCGGTGCAAGCACAGGGAAGAACAATACTATGATGCAGCCCAATCCCAAATTACACCAATCAAACGAGAGGGGTTCAGTGTAAGCAGCACAGCCACATTTCTGACAGTGGGATACGATAGAAAAGGCCCAAGAGAGCATGCAGTGGGCAAAGTTGGACGTTCTTCATAACATTGCCCAGCAAAGGTGTCGCAGAGTATTGGCAAGATCTATGGTGCATGGAAAAGGGGCACCCTCAGTGACAAACCAGTCGACAAACCAAGCAACAAGCCTGCAGATGTGGACAACGTTCTTTCTTGGCCAAGTATCGAGAATTATCCCGACGCTCGGTTGCATCCACGGCCTCGCATCCTCACAGTCCCACATTTATCTAAGCTTAGACGCACAATCTGTATCAGCCTCAGTTGACTTTCGGGCATCCAAAGGCGATTTCTGTCCCGAATTGACATTTCACGTGCTCTCAAGATTTTCTCAAGACATTACCATAGCTGCTGTTGAGATGTCAGAGCATTGCTCATGCTTTGCCAAGGAGTGGGTCTTTGAGCAAATCAACATCTACTGCTCGGCCACGCCCGAGGAGAAGGCCTTCGCACGAATGGAGCTGGAGCAAACCTTGCTTGAGACACCGTTGTGGTCAGTGTCCACCAAATATGACGGCACTTGCTTTGGCAAGCTAGATACCGGTGAGTTTGTTGGCCGCCGACATTTTGTGGGGCAGTCTGACACTTACCTAAACACCAGCACAGCTGCTGCGAATGAATGCGATGCAAGCGCCTTAAAGGAAGAACTTTCTCGAATACTCGGGGTTGAATTGGAAAGGCGCTCCGTTTGTGTCTTGGATTTGCTGCACAGTAGTATTTTATATTCATAAAAGTTACTTGTGCCTATGGCCGTTTCCTTGCCCATCGCTTCTTGGTTTTTGCCTTCACACTGAACACGACCAAAGTCAGTACCAGATCCCTTCAGAGGTCATGTCCAGTCATTTGAGTGGATTTACATGATACTGTACACACTTGTGTTTTGTGTATGCTGTTTCAGGTGTGTGGGGAGAGCCTTGCCAAAGCACTAATATAGATTTCCGTTCGTCCGTTTCTGTCCTTTCCCCTCAGGCCAATCAAGACTGTTGCCCCGGAAGAAGAGTCCGGTTGCTACCATACAATCCCGTAAAGAGAATTCCGCCGAATTCCGCGGAATGGTTTTTGTTCTATACAATTTGCGCTTGAATCCGCTCAAGCCAGTGGCAGCAAAGGAACTCATGTGCAATCCAGGCTACTATGATTACCTCGCCCGTGGCCTGTTTGAACAATGGCTTCCCTTTGGCGTGGTCCTGAAAGTGCCGAAAGCTTCAGAGGCGGACAAGATCATCCAGCGCTTGCAGGACGAAGGTTTGGCATACAGCCCTGGATTGAATGGAATCTCGTCAGCAAAAACTGTAAATGCTCATTTGTTTGCTATTAGGTTGGAGGCCATCGTTAGCAGGTTGGAGGCCTTTGCTATTAGGTTGGAGGCCATTGCTATTAGGTGCCTTTTTTTTGTTTCCAGTTTTGGGGACTCAAGGTCGGGGGTGTTCTCTGCGGCTTGGAAGGTCTGGCAGAATTCACCTTTTTACCAAACTGGGAAAGCACCCCGACGGTCACTGCCCTTCGCCTGTATCGGTCACTTAGATGTTTTCGTCATGCGCGTTGTGGTGCTCGTTTTCGCATCTTCGTTTTGTTTACGAGCTTCCCTGTGCAACCCTCAGTCGGCATTGTGCGAACTTGTGCAAGATAATGCAGGCCATTGTCGACATTTGAGTCAGTTGGGCTGCACGCGGCTTGCAGGTCCAAGGGTCTAACAACGTTTGATTTTTCCCTGTTACGCGCACCAAGGAAAGTTTCGGCTCTCCATGTGCGCTGCTCTGAGGTGCCTTTTCCATCCTTTTATTTCTTCATGTGTGCCATTACCTCCTCTCACTGCAGAGAATAGCTTGAAGCTGTTGGGAATCGGTCGGAGGTTCATCAGTGCATAGTGTTGCCAGGCGCTTGCTTCAAGATGTTGCACGGTGTCACGTTGTGGAAGAGGTTTTGCAGCAGGCCACGCACGCAGAAGTGGTGGCGCAAGGTGCTAAGGATTTGATGGAAGGCCGCAATGAAGGCGTCGTTTTGGCGCTGCTTGAGCTGATTCGAGCAAAACTGTTGCATGCGGTAGCGAGTAAGAGTGAGGCAAGAGAGGCGAGTCAAGAGCACATCAAGCGCACATTTTGCAGATTTTCGCATGTACCTCCAAGCCAGAAAGCTTCCCAGGGTGCTTTTCACTGAGGTTTCGCCGTGTTCAGGGCCAAGCATCACTCAGAAAATGGAAGAACTCTTCTGAGGGGCAGGGCGCAAGCAAAAAGCATGCGCAGAGGCTGCAACAGCTCAATGTCATAAGTTTGGCCAAGGATGGTCACTTGGATGTGCGGATCGCAGACATGGTGGATATGATGATTGCGGTTGCCGAAGCTGGGACTCAGCCAATGAAGACTGGGAGAAAGGCTTTGAAGAAATAGACAAGGATGCCATACCAGCCACACAGTCCCCCGACATATACATTGACTTTGTACAGTGTACAGTATTGTATTGGAATTGTGTGTTGCAGATTGCACTTTGCCGCTCAATGCGCCGTGCAAATGGGAATGTCGTGCGAACAGCATAATTTATTTTGTGCAACTTTACCTCCAGCGTTCTGGCTTTCATAAAGTCTTGATGTGAGCGTCCCCCTCAACCAGAGCCTCGCCTTGAACTCATGCAGTTGGTCAAAGGCCTAAAGGACGAGTATATTCATTGTGGGAACTCCAAATGGTCACATGGCTCCAATCACTGTGAAACTGCTTGCCAGTCCTGGCTCAAATTCGAGACGTATGGGGCTTCAGAACGTCTCGAAGAGCTCTCGCCCAACACCTGGACAAACCAAGCCATACAGGGCGTTAGCTCGGTAGTTCTATCAATATCTTGACGGCATGTTGGTCATGTCACGCACTGCAAACCACTAATGCAAACAACATATACTTTCTAAGTCTAGATCCTCTCAGGAATCACAACCGCTATATATATATATATATGTAGATGTACATGATGTACATCTCAAGCTTCTATGCGTAACTTTCCATTCAGCTGCCCTTGACACTAGCCTCGCATGATGGAGATTCAAAGCTTCGATGGCGTAGGCTGTGACGTGACGTTTTTCAGCCTGTTTCAGCTGTCAATCTTCGGTATTATTAGTGACACTGCATGCGGTTTGCAGGCTTGCTTCGGGAGCTACTGCCAATCCTACTAGCAGCTTTGGCTGCGCTGGTTGCTGCTAAGCTCTTTGTGGCACCGCGCAAAGCAGACCAGGCGAATTGAAAAGTCTCATGGGTGGCTTTGATAGCCACAAAGTGTGAACACCATACAGGAACAAAGTCAATATATACATATATATATATACATATAATGAGTTCTGCCGAGCATCAGTTCTGCATTGTGAGCAGCGTAAAGTACACAAACTGAAGACCGTGGCAAAAGCTTTTTGTGAGGCCCACCGTGCTCCACGTCAAGCCATCCAGACCGACCTGAAGCTCGCAGGTGTGAAATTGACAGTGCCATCCATAAAATCCATACACTACCACAGTCTCTGAAAATGGAAAGAGGTTTGGGGCCACTGTTCCGAATTTCCCAAATCATGCGAAGAACCCAAACCCTCCAGGGCTTTCCAGCCAACAGCTTTTTTGCCCTGATGACTTCACGGCCTTCACGGCCTACACCCATCAACATCTATCAGCCCTATCCAAAAAAAGGTCGAGACTCAGGCCGTGATTGCCAAGATATGCCAAGATGTCAGGCCCAGATGTGCCTACTTTGACCTTCTTCGGCGACCAGCTGAAGAGGAGACCGAGAACGGAAAGCGTTTTTTTGAGAGCTTCGCTTTTTCTGCACGAGACTTTCTGAATGACACTTTCGAGTCTTGGTGACGGCGAGACGAAGTCGAGGTTTGAAGACGAAGTCCGGAGAATCTACGCAGTTAACCATGATAAGCCGCCTTTCGGCAGAGGCGGGCTTTCAGTTCGAGCATCGGTCATAAAGGTCATAAAGTCTGAAGCTAAAACAACCGTGTTTGGACCAAACTTGACTTCGATTGCCCTTTGTGCACAATGGGAGTTTCACCAGGTATGAAGAACCTGAATGGCCCCGTGCCACCTTGCGATGTCAAGGAAAGCATCAGGTGAGCCTTTGCAGAGCCTTGCTGTAGCCTTTCTTTTCCCAGATTCATGAGTGTATTGTTATATAGTCATAGTATGTCATAGTCGTCATGTTTGTGTCACTGTGTAGGGTCTTGAATCTCCCGAGGTTGGCTGGTTTGATTTGAAACTCCATTTGTGCTTGCAAAGTTTGTCAAGGCAAATGCGGGCAGCCTGTGCAGACCTTCAGGAGATGTTTGCTGGTGTAAGAAGCAGACAAATTGTGAGAATGACATGCCCGGGCAGACGAAAACATGCAAAAGCTTGCTTGTGCGAGGGGTTGTTCCTGTGCTTGTGTGGCCTTGCAGCAGCTGTTGTTGTTAATGATTGTGCGCGCCACATAAGTTTAACATAGTTGAACGCCTCTTGAAAAAGCACGGTCCTGAGGGTCCTGAATGGAGCGGCCTTCTCAGTGTAAGTTTCGTCATGTGAAGAAGGGATCAATCATGGCTACGAAAGGCGACTGTGGACCTCACAGGGTATCCAACAAGGTGTCAGATGGGCGTAGCATCGCTTAGGCTTAGCCCGTTTGGTGAACTAAGGCATAGAAAGATGCCATGTATGTTTCCAAAACCTGACAGAGAGGCATTGCACGTCGCTGAGTAGCCTATGACCTGCAAAGATAGGTAACGATAGCATGTACTTGTCGTGAGATCGCAGCGCAAGGTTTAGTTTGAATTGCAGTCCGGGTCCACTGCTGGAGTAGTTGTCAATGTTGTTGTGTCATGTTGTGTCACTGTATTCAAGTTTTATGTCCCACTACGCAGGAGCCAGTCACAGGCGGATGGAGACTGCACGAACCATTGGATGATGCAGCTTGTCATCATTTGTTCGTCAGTCATTTAAAATATATACTTCCTTCGTGGTTCTAATTGGCGTCTAATTGGCAATGTAGCCTTTGCTTGAAGGGAAGAGGGCGCAAGGTCAAGCACAGAAGCTCGCAGTACACGACTACAGAAAAAAGAGGAACTACAGTAGGACGTTTCTGTTAATTTTGCATTGTTAGCTCAGCATGTGAGCCTTGCATGTTCGGATTGCACTCAGCTGAGATCTTCTACACACGATTTCTGACTGCTGTGGACTTTCACCAAGCTCGGGCTCTACAGCTGATTCGGAACTACGTGAAGTTTCGCAGAGAGATGCGCGGAGGATTCGCAAAGCATGTTGAAAGCTACAAAAACCAAAGTTGGAGCCATTGGAGCCTACAGACGGTGTTGGTGTGGGATGATTGTTTAATGGATTGGAGCTCGCCAGGAACCCCGCCAGACTATTCCTGGCTGAAGGCTGGCCTCGGGATCGTTCCTTTCGAGGACATCCGGCAGTGATTCATGATGATTCATGCATAGATTATCATAGATTCGCAAATTGATTGTTTTTACTAGATTGAGAGCCCATCAAACAAAGTGCAAGGATGTCATGGGCCGTCCCATTATCGTGGCGCGTGCTAAGTATTTTGATTCGCAGATCTCAGAGCCTTTGCTTGATTCAGGGCCTTAAGCATGATGACGCTCAAAAGCTTTGTGTGTCTCCATGCCTGCTGAGTACCTACCTGCCATTGAATACCCATTCTTTCGCACAGATAGATCAGATAGTGCAGAACATGGCCTCCGTGTGGGTTATGGCTGGCTGAGGCAGAGACATTTCGCTCCTTTTACCGGGGCATGGTGGACAGCATCATTGCACACCTCTTGATGAAGCGGCGTCCGCAGCTTTCTGATACAAATCCCTTTGAGCAATACGTCGCCCAGATGAAGCAGAACTTGCGAGTTTATGTTAAACAACTAGAAAGCCATGATGCCTCCCAATGAGTGCTCAACCAGAAAGCAGCTTCCAGCTTTCAGCACTAACCCCCCCGAGCCTCCCCCAGCTATGATGGGATGTGAGGGCGTGTTGAAAGATACCCGTTCCAATGGGCACTGCTACTGGCAGTTGCCAAAGTTGCAAGATTGTTGCCCAAAAGCAATAGAACAAAGAGATGAAAAGAAGGTTCTTTGTTAATTGCTCCCTTTGCTAATCTAATAGTTAATCTAATTTACCTTTTTTTTCCGCAGCACATTCTCAAGTTTCTTGTGACAACACATTGTGAACTGTTTGAGGTCCTTGTGTTGGACGTGCTCGGGGCCACGCGCCGGAACTTCTCCATGACGGCAATCCAGGTCATGATCCATGTGACATGGTTCTGACTTAGCGTTCTTTTGAAGCGTTTCACGGGTGGAAAAGGCTTATATAGACAGCATGCTGAGCATTCAGCATGCGATTGAAAGGCTTGGTTTGTCCAAACATGAAATGGTGTGGTACAAATTTAGTTTGAAGAACTCACTTGAGCGCAATAAAACACCCGGACTGCCTGCCTCGTCACATCTGGTCACCACCCAGGAAAGCAACAACTATTACCCTGATCGTGTTGCGCAAATCTTTGTCCTAGGCGGGACGAGTCCCCGTTCTGATTGATTTGTCAACATGGTGAGCACCTGCAAGAGTCAAAGGGAAAGTTGATTGGCAGATCCTGCACCACATGGGAATGCTGGAAGCATCCGTTTTTGTGAATTTTTGAAATCCTGAAGGTATTTGAAGATACCTTATAGGTAGGTGGTGCAGGATTTCGGTCATCAACATTATGGCGTTCCTCTGAATGCAAATGCAGGCGTCAATTTGGCAGTCCGAAGCCTTTGGTCCCTTGTCAGCCCAATGGTGATGCCTCGAACACGCAAGAAGGCCTGGCTTTTATCGGCAATTCTCGACGCCACAAAGACTTGAAGATCTAAACGCACGATGTCTCCTTTTTGTCGCGCCTGAACAGACGGAGCTGATAAAGGAAGCTGATGAACCACGGCTGCAATGTTTGTAGGCTAGGGTGTTGGCATCGACACCTCTAAGAAGGTCGGGCTGGTATTTCTGATATCAAACCGCCCTTTATGTATGAAAGAACAGTTTCAACATGTCGTATATGTTTTCCCTCATTGCACAGTTGCATAACGGCATAACACACTTATCAACTCTCAATCTTAGTTCTTGTCCCTGCTTTGTCCTGCCAGACAAGGTCCCGAACCTCATGAGGCAGCTTGTCGGGCATGAGAAGCTGCCAGAGGACGCAGCAGTGACTTGTACAGTAGCCTACACAGAGCACATGTGAGTACATGTGGCATGATAGAAGTACAATGAACATTTATCGAACTATACTATACAGTACCTCCCCACGGGGTCCTACCCATGCATGTTCCCTCTCCGTACAATGTGTTTTCTTTGCTGTGATGGACATTGACCGGAAAGCCGTGAGAGAGAGAGAGAGAAAGAGTAGGGATTGCGTGCGCAGGAGTATGGAGGGTCGGCACCTCGTTTACCATCACCAGCTCAAGCCAAGACCCTATCAGATATGGCAGGCCTGTGAAAACCATGGGGCTGAATTTGCACTCGGTGATTGTTGGATGTTTTGGCAGTCGAGCAACAATAATAAGAACAAGTAAGACATGCTGTGACATGCTTTAGCACAGTAGTGCAGTGGAAAGCAT